GTGAAATGGTTAGACTAAAGTGCCGCTTCCAAAAAGAAATCGAAACGGGAGTTTGTACTTAAAATTACTGCCATATTAGGAAATTAAAGAACTGTGGGAGTAGACATCTCAAAAGGTAAATCTTTTGTTGTCAATATAGTAACTGCAGACTTTTAAATTATCGTTATAAATGCATCTTATTACTTACCTGAAGTTTATATGCGCCTGCCAGGCATCCTCTGCATCAAACGTTAAGCCACAAGCTGGACAAATGTATGCAATCAAGGCGCGACTCTCATGTTCCCATAGGGCAATTTCGCGTGCTGTGGGTGCACCATTACTACTTTTAGCATTTCCACTGTTACTGGCATCTTTTTCCTTATGCAGCATAATATGCGATATCATTAAAAACATGCTGTGCTCTTCGAATGGACACAACTTGCAATGGTACACTTTGTGTGGCAAATGTGTAAAGTGATGCTGCTGTAATGTCTTCAGTGTGCAACGTGTAAATACTTTACGGCAGCTAAAGCATTCGAATTCGTTGTTGGGACGTCGCCTAAAATTCCAATTTTTTTGATCTCCTAGCTGATGCGCCGACACAATGTGCCGTCGCCAGTGTGGATGTGAATCGTGACGCTCCCCACATTGGGGACATGTGAAGTAGATGTAGTGATTTTCATGTTCTGCTGATGCATTGTGTGGCAAGACCTCGTTAAGGTCACATACTGGTTCTATTTTGCACAATGCCAATAGCTCATCCTCACAATCACTATAATCTGCTGTAGCTGCGTTGTGGATTGATTGTTGTTTTTCATTTATTTGTTTTCCATTCTCTTGCAGAACTTCAATAAAATCTACTTCAGGCTCCTTCTTACACTCTACTTTTAGCTCTATGGGCCGAGGTAGCGCGATGTTCTTATCAACATCAATTTCGCACAGAAACTCAAATTGTGGCTCTGAAACAGCAGATATAGTCGATGAACCCTCATCATCGCTATCGTTAATCACAAGCACACCACTATTGTCTGTACAATAACCACTTGTTTTGGGGCTTGCAAATGCTGTAATAAAAATGTTTACATAGCTTTGGAAACATTAATTTATAATAAAACTACATTTTACTCACTCTTTTTCGGTAGTGTGCATGGCAAGAATGAATAGAAACGCAATGATACATCTGTCGCCGCGCCATTGCTTGGCTCCGCTTCACCAGACGCAATCGATTGCATTGTATCCGTATGTTAAGTAATTACTTTAATTGTTACGAAAAGTAATTATTGGTCGATAAATAATCCTAAATATTAGTAAGATTCACTAAAATATTTACACAAACGCGAATGCAAGACAATAGGAGCATCACAATACTTTTGGAAAAACGAAAAATAAAAGATTGACTTGACACACACTCCGAAAATGTAGAGTTGCTAATTAAATGTTCTAATTAGATTGCGTCGTTGCCATACCTTTACATGCAACAAGTTTAATTTACCAAAGAACGTAGCACGTACATAACGTTCGTAACGTCATTACGTTCTTTGTTTCTGCCGACTTACGCCTGTTCCCTTTGTTAGATCATTTACGTTCTTTGCATATATATATATTCAAACTTTTCTTGCGAGAAATAAACATACAATTTTATTTATTTTATTTATTTATTTATTACAGTCATTTTACCTATATACATTCACGTATATACATTTGAATTATGTATTGCAATATATAATAAAAGTTGAGTTAAATTTAATGCTTAAAATAAGTTGACCTGTTACACTTTTCCTTCTAAGCTATATAATAGTATGTATATTTAACTAAGATAGCATATTCTAGATGCTGTTGGAATGGACGGGATTCCAAGCAGTACCGTAAATATATCACGTAGGATATGCGGTCTAAGAGTGTAATTTCCATAGCCGCCACAACTGAGCGGTTAGAAAAGACTTGTTTCCAAGCCGCTTCTTACAAACTTCTCTACCGGCAGGCGCTC